AACTCTTACATCTTAATTCAACCCATTTCTATTAATCTGTGTATTGCTACATGGCTGTGGCTTACTGGCAAAGTTCTGTCTCATGTCTCTCTTTTGTGGGGCTACATGGCTTCTCTTGACTCCCCCTTCTTTCTCCTAGCATTCAGTTTAGTTTCTCCACCTACCTCTGTTCTGCCCTGCTGTAGGCTCAAACTAGCCTTTACTCGTTAATGGTAATCACAGCATACAGAGGGGAATCCCACATCAGCCATGTCTGCTGCTCCATGGAAGTGTGACGCTTTCATAACAATGGATTTTAGCCTTAGCCATCGTCATCCTAGTTGTGAAGGCCAATGCTGCTGTTTTGGTTTACTGATATAAAACAGCTTTTAGTTTTAGGGCCAAAGTTCATCTTGGTGGTTTTCCTAGGCCAAGTTCCCTGGATGACTGGGCTGTCTTTTACCCATTCCTTTGAGACTGCAAGAGGCAGAAGTGGGAGCCATTTGGAAGAATTTGGAGATAGCCTGGACTGACTTTCAGCATAGACAGAGTTGATGGGAAACCCTTGTTTTGGTGAAGAAACTGTATGGTACCTGCTTTTCTCATGCACTGGATGTCATGCATGTGAATCCCATAGCATTTATCCATCCTGGGTACAGCACTGCCCTTGAGTTCTTTGGTGTCAGCCTATCTTCTGGACATCAAACCCAGAGTGCCATCGTTGGCATGTTCATATCATGGAAGTGTCACCCCTTCTTAGGACTCCTGTTCCATTAACTGTTGCTTTAACCTCTTGTCATTGTTTATTACCGCTTGTTTGCCTAACTTGCTCACATGGTTGAAATGTATACTGTATGTGGGTCTTTTTTCAAAGCATAGTCTCTATCAAAGTGGGTGTCTTTATTCAGCATTTCTAGGGAAAAGGGTCAATTCAAGAGAACCATACAAACTTGGTGCTTATATTTTGATAGCACTTACAAACCAAATTGCCATGATTCCGTACAGTTATCACTTGGAATTAAACTGTATTTTTGTAAGCTAAGACTCAGACTTTTGAGCAAGGCTCCTCTGTGCCTTTAGAAAGGATCAGTTTATAATCATGCATGATAAAATTTGTTATGAATTTAATTCTTTGACCTTCTGTTTCTCAGAATTCCTTGATAGTGAGGTTTAGACCAGCCTTCTGTACATATGTTCATTCCCCCTTTGAGTTCTCCACCTGCTCACTCAGAGCTGTATGTGACTTGACCTGGCTGCTTAACACAAGACCTCAGGGGTACAGAGCCTGCTGCAGGCTTGGAGCAGTTTACTAGTTAAGCTGGACAGAAAGCCATGTAACTTGTCTTGTGCTGGTCCTGGGTTCTATATGAAAGTGGGTTTTGCAAGTCAGTAGCAGCTCCCCTTTATGGCCTCTGCAACATCTGGTGCCTCTGGGATCTTGGCCTGTTTGAGTTTCGGTCCTGACTTCCTTTAGTGATGAACAGCAATGCTGAAGTATAAGCCAAATAAACACTTTCCTCCCCATCTTGCTTTTTGGTTATGGTGTTTTGTTACAGAAAATAGAAAACCTAACTAAGACATTGCCTTTATTTAATACCGTGTTTTGGACTCCTGGTGTGTTTTAATTTGTGACATAGCTTGGCTCACTCTGGTTACACTCTGAACATATTTGTGGTTCATGGTGCAGTGTTTAACAGTGTGGTTGTTAGGAACCAAGGCAAAGATGGAGTGATTCTCTAGGGAATTGAGTTTTCTTCCTTCTGCCTCCCCATCTTTCCAGTCTCCTCTCTTTTCTTGTATTGCTTTGATACTTTTCTTATCACTCTGAGCAAATTCCCCAGAATGAGGATTTTAAGTGAGAAGTTCATTTTGGCTCACAGTTTAAGGTATACATTCTACTGAAGATGAAGATCTTGGTGACTGGGTTTTCATCCATGGTAACAAAAGGTTGTAGCATGGCTTGTTCACATCTCAATGGGTGAAAAAGAATGTTCAGACTGGAAGCAGAGCTGGCCAGCATCCCTCAAGGCACATCCTGCACAGCAATCTGCTTCCTGTTTCTAATCCTCATTGCCATGGGGCCATAGCGGTTCCATGAATAACACCACCAGCTGGATACCCAGTGATCAAACACTTGAACTTCTAAGGGATGTTTCATATTCAAACCATAGCATCACCTGTCTCTTCATCTGCTTCTCTTCTTGAGAGGGACATGGCATTGAAGGACCCATGCTGACCACTATGAATACTTTTTGTCATTGAATTTGGGTGGTACGTGAAGCCTAGGGAATCTTTCATGGGAGGACATTGAGAGAGACAGGCCACTAGGAATACATAGAAATTGTGAAAACAGTACTATCTAGCATGTAAGAAGTGTTATCTGTAATAACTGTTATTGTTTAATGTTTCCAGAACACTACTGATAATTATTTCGTCTACTCTGAAGATGTGAATCCTGGGGTTCAAAGAGGTTTAGGAACTTTACCCAGGGACACACAGTGGAGGCCTGAGCCTTGTTGTAGTGATCGCCTCAAACAACAGCAACAACAACAACAACAACAACAAAAACTTGGAAAAGACTTTGAGCTTCCATTTGGTCTGTGTTACAGGGTTTAGAGTGGGAAAGGCTCAGGGATTATCTGCAGTAGGCAGATCCTTGCTGCATTCTTCTTTGTCTCTCTGTTTTCTGAGATAGGGTTTCTCTGTCTATCCCTGGCTGTCCTGGAACTTGATTTGTATACCTGTTTGAGTTGCACTCTATCTGCCTCTGCTTCCCAAGTGCTGGGGTTCCAGGTGTGTGCTATCACTGCCTGTAGCATGCTTAGGGTTAATTTGGCTGCAGCTCCACCTTCTGGGTACCTGTCACACAAAACAGGGCCTCATGGTTCATAGCCCTGTCTGTTTAGGACCATAAAATAAACTTTTTAAAAGAAATGACTTTTTGATTGTTGTCCATCTCGAGATCTGTGCCTGGCACATAATGGGTACTCAGAATGTCTTTGTAGAATTAGTGAACATACTCTGAGTCCCCAAATTTAGGCACCAGTAGGATGTCTACAGGTGCTGTTGTACCGGTGGGTGGAAGCCTTATGGATATAACCTTGGGTAAACAAGAATAATACTGGGCATGTTCATATCTACAGTGTTTTTTTTTGTTTTGATTGCTCGATTGTTTTTTTAAGATTGGATTTCACTGTGTAGCTGAGGCTGACCTTGACTTCTGATCCTCTGCCTGTATTTCCTTTGTGCTGGGATTATGTATCACCTTGCCCAGCTTAAATTTAGAATTCTTTCTCCAAATTGTGAACTGTCACAAAGGCTGGTGCATGTGAGTATCATTTGAACTTTCTGTAGTGATGACAGGTACCTGAGAGAAACAGTTTAAAGTGGCAAGCATGTATTTTGAACCAGAGTTTCAGAGGTCTCAGTATACAGTGAGATAGCTCTATTGCTTTTAATTTGTGACAAGACACTATGGAGGAAGAGCATGCATGGCTCAAGGAAGCTAGGCACACTGCATGACAGCCAGGAAGCAGAAAAACGAGCAGAAAGAGATCAGGGCCAAACTTACCCTTCAGAGGCACTCCACTCCGCAGCAGTCCACTTCTTTCTGCCAGGTCCCACCACTGAGACTTCTACCACCTCCTGGCAGTCTAGGGGGAATTTGAGCCTGTCATTGATTGTATCAGAGCCCTTGTGATCTGTCTCTGGAAATTCCTCCACAAATGCATCCAGAGGTGTACTTCACTAATCTCTGAGGCACTTCTCAACCAATTGAGTTGATAATTAAGCTTATCAGCTGTGCAGCTTGGTGCACTTTCCCAAAAGCCGTGTTCCTGCGTGATCAATTCTGTGACCAAGAAACAGAACATTACCGAAACTACAGACAGCCCTGGCCTCCACCACTGCTCCATGTTCCTCCCAGGGGTGTGCATCTTGATTTTAGATTGACATTATTGTTGAGTGATGTTTGGGAGAGACTGCTCTACATCTGTAAGGACCCAACCATTGCTTCTGCAACTCAGGGGCAGGCATGTTCCTGGCCCAGAACTGATGGCTACATTCCACCTGCCAGAGTTTCCTGTAGAGCCTGTCTTGTGTAGGGGCTACAGGAGGCTTCAGATCAGGAGGTAGGGTGGTCCTTCATTGCAGGGATTTTCCTTCTGATTGCTGATAGCAAATGCTGTGAGGCACTGGCAAGGGATGTCTTCATTTTTTTTAATTTTAATTTTTATTCTTTATATACACTACATCCCAGCTAGTTTCTCTTCTCTCCACTATTCCCAGTCCCCCTTCTCTTTTCCTCTCCACCCCCAGATCTACTAGTCCTCTGCTTCCCTTCCGAGAAAAAAAGAGCAGTCCTCCCAAAGATATCAACTTAACATGACATAACAAATTACAATAAGATGTCTTCAATTTGGCCCGCTCAACATCTCCCTCCCATCAAAGTGCTGTGTTCACCGTGTGCTTCAGTCCCTGGTCGCCTGCCTGCTGCAGGTCAGACTGAGACTGAGTCTGTTGCTGCAGCATTTGAGTTTAATGCTCAGGCATGGTCACTAAGGAGGCAGCGCCCTCACCTCTGGAGTCCCCTTGGATGGTTGAGGTGACACATGTATTCAGGCTGAGGAGCTTTGCTCTCTGTGATGTGGCTCTCTGCCCTATAGTTCCCCAGTCAAGGACAGGTGGCTGTCACTCAGCTTTGGCTACAGGCCACAGAGTGCTTTGCCAACAGTTTTGGGATGGAGATCTTCCTGGCCTCTTTGGCCCAGAGACTGCAGTTTGTCTCACAGAGCTTGGAGCAGCTCCCTCAGCTCTGCTCTTTCATCACAGGGGTGGGGGTGGGAAGTGGGCAGAAGCACAAGCATACAGAAGGCTCCACGCTCCTGGAGCTAGAATTTAACTACCCAAATGCCAAATAAGATCTCCCGTCTAAAGTCAGGGATTCTTAGAAATGAAGCCAGTGTGGTTTATAGCTATGATCCCAGTTACAGAATGAACAACTTATGCCTTGCTGTCCTCAGGGAACGGCATCATAGCATTGTAGCAGAGACTGCTTGGCATCACTCTGGAACTGCAGGGGAAGAAAGTCCTGTACCCTCTACCTAGCTGTGTGAGTTTGGGTAAGTTTCTTGGCTTCTCTGATCCTGAACGGAATGGGGATCACTGCAGTCTGAATCTGTTCAGGTTGTGCTCACTGTTCAGAGTAAAGCACTTAGAATAGCCCATTGAAGGCTTGATACACATTAAACATCCCTAAAACTGAAACATAGCTGCCTGTAGATTCTGGATCATCCAGGTGCAGAAGGTAGTTTATTATTCATGGTTTTCAGATAGGGAAATTGAGGCACAGACTGGCCAAGTTCCTGCTCCAGACTTCACAGCTGAGGCAGGGTTCGAACCAGAGGCTTCCCATTTTCCTGTGAATAGTTCGAGAACCATTTGTGCTTTGCCCATTATTATCAACTGAAGAGCATGTTTCTTTGAGGAAGACTCCACGTGGTAGTTAGTATTGATTGTCAGCTTGGTGGGATTTTGAATTACCCAGGAGACAAAACCCTGAGCATGCCTGTGAGGAGTTATCTTTGTTAGCTTCATTGCACTGGAAAGACCCACCTGAATGCAGGCAGCATCGCTCCGTGAGTTGGCATACTAGACTAAAAGGTAGAATGTATATCTCACTGTTCTTTCTGACTGTATGTGGCGTAGCCACCTCCACCTCATGTTTGTTTATCATGAGGCACAGTACCCGTCTACTCCAGAAGTGGCTTTCGTCAGTTCTTTTGTCAGAGCAATGAGGAGTGTAACTAACATACTCCCCTCACCCCTAAATAGTTCTGGGGAAAACAGGGCCAATGCTGTTCACATTATGGTCCACTCAAAATACTAGGCATAGCTAGAACATGAAGATTGGAAGTTTCTTTTGTCACATTTGCTTGACCTGTTTATTTGGATCAGACCCTGTAAATATAGGTTTCTGTCTGCCTGGTCTCATAACCTTTCAGTCCCAAAGAAATACCCAGAGGCACTAGTTGTAAACAGAGACTGCACTTTTGTTTCTCAGCCACCCAGACCTGAATAATTATACAGAAACTATAATAATTACAACAGTGTTTGGCCAATGGCTCAGGCATATTTCTAGCTAGTTCTTACATCTTAAATTCACACATTTCAATTAATCTATGTATTGCCACAGGCTGTGGCTTACTGGCATTTCTCTCTTTCTGCAAATACGTGGTGTCTCTTTGACTCTGCCTACTCTTTCTATATATCTTTGTTTGGATTTCCTACCTGGCTTTACTCTGCTAAGCAACTGGCCAAAACAACTTAATTCATCAACCAATAAAAGCAGCATATTTACAGAAGGACATCCCACATCATCTCCTCTTTCCCTTCTAATTAAAAAGGAAGGTTTTAACTTCAACATTGGAAAATTACATATACAAAATAGTTATCAAACAAGAATTATAGTTACAATACTTAGTTTGTTTACATTTGGCAAATTAAAGAAAATATCATCCATCTTATTTTTGTGAGTCTAAAGTTTTATATGTAATTTATCTTTTATCATAACTAAGGAAAACTATAATTGTAACCATCTAATCTTCAATCCGTCAAAGACCCAGAATGCTATAATATTACTTAAGTAAACAGAAAATGCATTGTAAGCAACTTCCAAATTCTAGAAATGACAGAGACATCTCACTGCTTGGAAAGTCTCCCAAAGTTCTTTTGTAACATTGGAATATCCATCTTTATCTTACAGGCCTATAATACCTGGCAGACTTTTCAGTAACACAGGAAATTTGAAGATCTGTTCTGCCTTGTACTGGCAAAGTTTGTCAGTTGCTTTCTTCTGTTTTCTGCAGAATGTCTGGCTGTTTCTTCTGTGAAGCAAGAATCCTGAAGGACCATCCTGACTTTTGGAAAGTTCAGCTGTCACTTTTCTGTGGGTCCTGCAGTCCAGTTCTTACAGCACACCATCACGCAGTCCAGGCAAGAGCAGTTTCTTACCCATATGACCAGCCTTGTCACATGGAAGGCAAATTCCATAATGAGTTTCTTCAATGCCCATCAACCTCTCTGAAGTAATTGGTACTGCCAGAAGCAGACATGTCTCACTGTTGAAAAAAGTCTTTAAGTTTTTAAAACATTTTAAATGCCATATTCTGTAGGTCTGTGGAAGGTTTGAAGGAGACCTATCCAGCTTAAATCTCTCTATACATCTAGAAAAGCTAACTAACATGACTACAAGTTTTACTATTATAGATGACTGTCTATTAATCCATAATTTTTAATTATATATTCCATTTTTAAATGATCTGTATAAACATTATACCTTAAGCAGGAGTAGAAATATACATATAACAAAATTGACTTGAAATTTGTATTAGTAAACCAAAGTCCATACCAATGTAGTATTCATTTCTGTGTCATATCCTCTTCTTTTTTTCCTTTAGAAATCCTTGACTATGACCATTATCTATTAACCATTTATAATCAGCCCCTTTAAATGAAAACAAATATTTATAAACATTATTTGAGGGAAAAGTTATGAGGTTGGGTCATCCTACGAAGCATCTTTCCTCACCACAGCTACCCTGAAGAGGAGAGGATTAAAGAAAGGAAAACTGTCTCCCTAGTCTGTTCATACTAGGTCCCGGCTGACAGGCATGTCCTGATGAGTGCTATACTGTTTTATACTCCCTGGTGGTCCATACTCAGGGGTACAGGAGCTTAAGAATGCAACAGATCAGCCAAGAAAAACAAGGCCTGTAGGGAGCAAGGAAAACAGAGAACCAGAAGAGGGGTGGTGGAGGTGGGAAAGGAAGAGAAATGTCAGGGTCAGAGGTGAGATGGGAAAAGATGGATCCAGCCAGCAGAGGAGGAGACATCAGTGATCTCGGGCCTGCTTGGGGAGTGTGATGGGAGGGCAGAGGGCAGTGTGCAGTGGGAATGTAGAAGAGGACTATCAAAGCTAGTTTCAGTTTCAGTGCCACAGTTCTGTGAGGACTGGATCCTAGGAAGACAGAGAACTAACTCTGAGCTCAGCATACTTGCTCTGTATTCCCTGGAAGACTGTGTGGGTCAGGACCCTTAGCTCAGACCTAGATTTTACTACTATCTGCATTCCAGCTTCCCAGAAAGGTCCCCATGAATGGATGTATCCGCGAGTTTGTTTCCAGCCCTGTGTTCCCTTTTACACTATTCAGAAAAGTTGACACAAATAAACTCTACCATGAGTCTCTCATCCAGGAAGAGCGCATGCTTGCTTTTCTGGGCGTGCTTCTATGGAGTGTTGGAGGCACTAAAAAAAGAAGTACTCAGGCTGATCCAAGGGCTTTTTGTGGACAGGGCAGAATAACACCAAACACGTAGTCAGACCTGCAGGAGTGCTTCAATTGTGTGGATTCTCTCTGCTTAGGAGCTTGTCATCTTAGCTGAGAGAGGTGTCTAAGTCTCTGTCCTTAAGGACTGTCAGGGCTCTATGAGGAGCTGGGGCAGAGGTGAGTTGACCAGCTTTTGTGTGTGGGTGTGTGTGGTAATATATATATTGGCTTCAATGAAAGAGGCTTGTTTTCTTAGGTTATGTGAAGTTCTTGATGCTTCCTCTCACTCTGCTCCGACTCTTCCTCCAGTTCCCAGCAGGAGGTGGGTGAGGCCTTTGGATACCCTCTGTTGAACATCTAGTTCTTACATTGTAGGGTGCTTTCATGTGGAAACTCAGGTTCAAGAACATAAGTAATACAGTTTAAGGTGGTGGCCATGGTGGTGCTGAAGGAGAAGGGCAACTGCCTTTAGTTTTTCCAGGTTCTATGTTGAACTCTTATTTGGAGACTGAGTACATCAATCACATGTCTGCCCTGTGCTGGGCAAGACTCTAAGCCCTCTGCTCATATGTTCTAAGAAAGACTCTGTAGGGCATAGATGCTCAAATGCCTACTTAATGAGGTCACTGATGGAGGCAGGGCCAAGTCTAAGGGTGTGTTAGTTATTTTTGCTGTGCCACATAGCTCTCATGATGGTCACACCAGCTCTCTGCATAGGTAATAATAATGGCTGTCTGATTTGATACTTTCTCTTCCAGATACTTCTACATCTTCGCCACCTTTCCCTGTGCTATTTGCTTTGTATTGAAGAATTTAACTGCCACAGTACCATTGCTGGTGGGCTGTAAACTTACTTAGCTCTGCTCTTAAGTATGTTCTAAAGTTGATAAACTAAACTGTATGTACTTCATAGCAATAATCTCGAGTCTAATGTTGAGTTTCTTCACCTCTTCAGTGTGATTCGTTCAGTGAAAAAAAAAAAGCTCATTGTTTTGGGAAAAAGTTTCAGAGAGGGCCCAAGAGGGGAGATGCATTCTGTATGGGAATACCTGCATCATGGCAGTCTTGGAAAAGAAAGGTTGAGGTTTCCATGCCCTGCCCTGAAGCCCTTCCCTCTGTGCTGATCTCAGTTCAACCACACTGTGCTGCAACCGTACCTGGGTTCAAACTTCAATTCTGACTCTTAACCAAAATTTCTGGTGAGTGAGCAGGGGCTGTCACTTACGTACTTTCCTGACACAGGGCTGGCACATCACAGGTATACCTTAAATGTTAATTGAATTTCAGTTACAGAAAAAACATTGTGAGAGGTGGGCTGTTTTCCTCTGCCTCCTTGGAGATGCTTAAGTTCTTTTCCTAATCCCTGTTGCCATATAGACTGGTGCTGAAATTATGAGATGTGTGGAAGCCACTACAGTTTAATTCAGTTGTGTGTGTGTGTGTGTGTGTGTGTGTGTGTGTGTGTGTGTGGTGTGGTTACTAGGCAAAGCATTCTGTGCGGGCAGAATAAATACAAATGGAAAGAGTCCGACCACCATTGTAAGTCTCCATCAATCACTTGCTTCTTGACTTAGGCAGTTATGGCTGGGTAAGAACATCCTGGGTCTGGACTTTAATTCAGATTTCATCACATGCAACCTTGTGATACGGAGCAAGGTACTTAACTTCTCTGAATGAGTTCCCTCTTCTGTAACATGCCCCAGACTCAGCAGGTTGTTGAGTATTAAATGAGTTACTATGTATAAAGCATTCAGGATCACTGCTGGTATTCACTGCTGGTGTTATTTGTTGTTAAAGGAAGCTTTACTGTCCTCATGGAAAACCCAGCTGGTCAGAGCCTAGGTCACATGACATTGTAACAAGGACAGAGAGTCTCCTGGAATTGGACTTGATAAAGTGCTTCAAAGTGGTGGCTCAGACTCATAGGCATTTATTGTCTCACAAGCAAAGGGGCCAAAAGTCTTAAGTTCAGAGAATTGTCAGGACCACCTAGGTCCTGTGTCTTGCTAGCCTCTTATGACTTACTGCTGTTTTTTGTGCTCCTTGGCTGGCGAAGGCATCAATGGCTTCACTAGGCCTTATCCCCATGTTTCCCTTTGTAACTGCTTATACCATCAGCCATGTGGTCTAAGGGTCTATCCTATCCCTGTATCCCTCACCTAAATTTTATTTACAGTAACCTTGTTCCCAAATAAGGTCACATTCTGAAGTGCTAATGGTTTGGCTCTAACATACCTACTTTGGGGATACACATCTATATCCCTAGCTTGGGTGCAGATATTATGTGCTGAAACTCTGAGCACAGAGCCTAGAAGGAAGGAGGTGATCAGTGCTAGGTAGGTCTGGTGTCACTTCATCTTCATCTTTGGCTGCACAGTCCTGGGATGTTTCTCTGAACAAGTTGAAGAGTTTCTTAACTCTTGACTTTGAGTGGTACAATGGCTTGCAGGGGAGTGGATTCTTTAGTCTTTGTTTTTCTGGAATGGGGTGAAAAGAAATTCCTTTCCTCTAGGATGAGGAAGGAAAACTTAGGTCCTGGTGGCACATGTTAGCCCAGGAATGTTCCAAGTTGCTGTATTCCTCCTTGCCTTATCTATGTGATGTTTTTTGGACTAAGGGGTTTGGAATGCTCAGAAGTGCTGGCACACATGAACTGGTTTGGGTTTCCTGATCCCAGAATTACTTTGCAGTCAGAATGGAAACCTGACTTTCATTCCACTAAACAGCTTTGCTCCACAGAAGTGTAGATATCTATGGAAACAGCCCTAATTTTAGCCCTGCCATACTTAATACCGACTTAGAGAGTGCTGTTTTGGGTCAGTGCCCAGGGAATTGGGAACATAAACAGGCTGAAGGGTCAGATCAAGCACAGAGTGGCTCAGGGACTGAGAAACTTGGGAAGGCACTGCAGGGATCTTTAGTGGATCTAAAAAAGGTCAGCTACAGCTGAGCATCATGCATGCCCAATCTCACAACTCAATAGGAAGAGGCAGGGGGATTGCTGTGGCTGAGTTCTAGTTCACAATGAGTTCCAGACCAGTCTGAACTACAAAGGAAGATATCTGAAGAGATGGGCTGGACAGAGAAGCCCTGATCAGAAATATGGGATTCTAAATGCAGGTGTCTCTCTTTCTTCCCTATTTTATATGTCTTGTTAAAATTCTTCTTCTTTGTAAGCCAGTTCTTGACCCTGTTTCTCTTGTGTCTATCTCCATAATTCTTACTCCTGTCCTGAATTACTGGCATTTTTCATAATCATGTTCATGTCCTATGGCAGCATCTTTAATTCTGAGATTGATTCACATGCCTTGAAGACCCAGAAATCATTTTTATACCTTGAAGAGTCAGCCAGGGTTATTATTGTCATGTCTGTATACTGAGCTGGCTATGTAGTAGACATGCAGAAAATACACAGCCCAAGGGATTTGAAAAGATTGTTGATTTCTGCTTTACCCAACCAAGGGCTTGGGGCAGCCAGAATATAATAAAATATATATTGTTTATAAATGGAAAGACTTGGTTTATATGAGAGACAGAAATGACCTGTGGTTCTAGTAAGGACGATCTATGAAGGGTTACTACGAGTGGAGGAGACCATAGCATGGAAGATGTTGGGTGTAAGGTGAGATCTGTGAGGAGATGATTTCAGGACACTTGGGAAATAAC